TTAGTTCAGACTTTGAACTAAAATTCTTTTAATTTCAAAACAAAATAGTCTAATTCATTACTATTAAAATTTCAACTCAGAGCGAAAAAATAATTAATCTGTACTAAATTATAAAAACAGAACAATCAAGTATTCTACAGTATACAACTCTATTCGCCCTAAAATAAAACAACATGTGCATTTCTAAACCACTTATCAACCCACCTAATCACTAAATATAATGCAACGCATGCTTATTTGAACGTACTTGTCAATCTTGTTAATAATGGGATAGTAAACACAAACTATGTTTTTAAAGTATACAACTGCAAAAATTGACTTTGAAAATTTTTTACAACACTAGTTACACGTATATATGTATGGAGTATATATCACTTATTAAATTTATATTCAAAGTTTGCTCAAGAATCAATAAGAAAAATTTGTGCACACGGTTCAGGTTCAAGATTAAAAATGAGTATATTATTCCCTACTCACTAGGGAGCAATTGAACACTGTATATATTAGGGGTGGAAAATGAGCGGGTTAGGTCGAGTTTGGGCAGGGTCAAATATGGGTTGTGACCCATATTCAATCCGCTTGTAATGTGTTAAATATAGGTTTGGTGAAAATGGACTGGGTCAACCGTCATGATAGATGTTTGTCAGATATATATAATTTTGATGTATATTGTTTTTTAGTTATGAATGTATTCAAGTGTTTTGGTAAACAGGTTGGATTCATTTATGCTAATGGATGTTTGGACATATATCTTAATTGTCAGTTATAGTTGTTAAAGATGGAAGTAAATTTTCTAGGGGACAAATGATTGCTTGTCAATTATGGATGTACTGAAATTTTATTTATTTATTATTTTTTTTTTTTTGAGGATGTATCTGAATGTTTTGTAAGCAAGTTGCATTCAACCATTGTTTGGTTACTGAAATATGCAAGATTCAATAAATAAGTGTTTTTTTTTTTTTTTTTTCACCAAAATCAATTTAAGTTGACATTTGATAAATAACTACCATATTACTATATATATTCCAAATGCAAGAACATTTTAAAAGAAAAAATCAAAGGCCTTGTTTCAAAATTAGAGGCCTCATTTTAAATTTTTATGTAGAAAACAAAAAAAGAAAAAAAAAGAAAAGAAAAAGTGAGTGGTGGGTACTTTAGTAATAATGTATTGTTTTGAATTTTAAGGGTAATTTTGTTCGAAAATTTTCTCACACAATTACTCAAACGTATGTTTCATGTTAAGGGTAATTTTGTTTGAAATTTTTTAATCAATACACCGGAAATGTCGGTGAGGTAAGTGTAATTATTCATATGAGATACTGTAAAATAATTGAAATAAAACAGTGTATATAGATGGGTAGGTTCAAGTTTGAACTAGTATTCTTTGTGGGGACTGACCTAGGTCAACTGATGAAGGACGTCAAAGTTTTCCTTTACTATGATTATTGTAATAAGGTTAATCATTTGTGGAAATTTGTTTAGTTGATGGATTTTAGCTTGTTGCACATTTATTTATTTTAGTTCAGTTTTCTCTTACTATGATTATTGTAATAAGGTTAATCATTTGTGGAAATTTGTTTAGTTGATGGATTTTAGCTCGTTGTACATTTATTTATTTTAGTTCAGTTTTCTTTTACTATGATTATTGTAATAAGGTTAATTATTTATGGAAATTTGTTTAGTTGATTCAGTGGGCATGGACAATACCTGGACAATACATAGACCAATATTTTGGGTTCTTCTTAAAATAGGGGTGCTTATCCGGGCTTTTCTGATTCTCTCATCTAGAAATAATTTTTCCTGTATGGGAACCCATTGATTGGACCACCCATTAATTTGAAAGTCTTGTTCCAACATTGGAGCTTCTACGGTGGTCTATCACCGACTGTGACCGAGAGAGTTATTGTTGATTCATGATTACTCCAACAACATTAACATTATTGGAGTTTCTCTCTTGACTGCCGATAGGAGCATGAATATTCTTGGCTGATGGGGGAGCTCTCATCGATCCTGACCCTGAAAATGTCTCTCTATACCCAGAAAGAGAGACACTGTGTTTCTTCATTTCTGGTTCTGTTGTAGCAGTGCTCATGAACAAATCAATATTTTCTTCTCTTGTATTATTTTTCTTCCTTAATTTCAATTTTCTAAGCACTTTATCCAAACCCGTTTTGAATGAAAAAGTCATTTTGTTGCAAGAATGAACAAGAAGAAGGAAGAGAGAGGTGGTATTATATAAACTGAATTCATGATTCTGTTTGGAAAGATACTAAAATTGAAAAATTTACTCAAAGAGAAACTGCAGATTTCTAGAAGAATCAACCCTCTTCTCGGAAACAAGATTGATACCTTCTATTGATATGAGATGACTCGAGAAGCAAAAACAAAATAGAAGTAGATAATAGTGGACGAGTGATCCGAACCCGACTCCAATGGGTCAATGCAAGTTAACCCTAAATTTTTGCGGGTGGGCCACAACGGCAACAAGGGTCCGAATAATGTTACAAAGGAAGACTTGTCCCATATCATATCCGAATGGGAAGTGAATTGGGTATATATGAGTTGGTTGTTAGCTTCATCTAATAGTTTAGGTTTTTGGGTTGGATTGCGAAGCATTCACCTGTTACACTATACCACTTGGGTTAGATACCCATGGGTTCAATTTATTTTTGTTGGTAAATTATTTTTGTATTTTTTTTTCGCGGGAAAGTATTCTGGTTTATTCATGGATACGGATACGGGACACATGTACAACATAATACGGGTACAGTGATATGACAAATATAAAAAAAATAAAAAAATATGAGTATGGTTAGGATACGACAATTTAAAATAATAAATTATATTTTTATGTATACAAAAAATTAATTTTATGTTATATATATTGTTATTAATATTTTTTTTATTTTAAAATATTACGATTAATAAACAAAATAAGAGTTAAAAGAGTCATATTGCATCATTTGCAAGACTATATTTTGAACTAAATCACAACATATTTTTCTATACTTCTTTTTCGAATAAATTTTAATTTTTTTTTTAAAAACAACTATATCATATTATAATTGTTAAGAAAAGCTTTATTTTAATGTTCAAAACTTATTAAAAATTTGAGAAGTATCAGATATGAGGTTGAAGTATCTGAGAAGTATCAGAAACGTGTTAAAAATAAAATTATATATATATATATATATATATATATACATATTAAAATTATGAATACGTTTAGGAAATATTAGAAATATGCAAAAGTATTCATATGAGACACAGATACAAGATACAAGTACATCACTCTTTTAGAAGTATCTGTAGTCCATATGGTGGTGAGTATATCTTGAAGACTTTTTCCTTTTATTTTTGTTAAACTGCATACTCATTTTCCTTTAACAAGTGATGTGAACGTTCAACTGTGCATCGGAAACAGAAGGAAATATTCCTCCATCTCTCCCATTTAAAGGATAATGCTTAACTACTCACTGGTGAGTAGGGTAAAACTATTCACCTTTATGTGGTCTAATAATAAAATAACACATCACATTTAATAATAAAATAATACACACCTAAAAACACTATATACGCTTATTCAACGGTTGATCCGAAAAAGCAGAGAAATGTGTGGATTATTTTATTATTAAAGATAATGTGTTATTTTGTTATGGGACCACATAGGGGTGAGTAGTTTCACCAGTGAGTAGCTAAGCATTGTCCGATTTTAAATGTCCACTTTTACAATTCTATTTTTTTTTCTTTCTAAAAATTGCTTTTCATATATATATATTTTTACATTGGCATGAATGGATTTTCAAATTTACTCTCAATTTTGAATCAGTAGGGCCCACAATGATGTTATTTTTTACTTTTTTACTTTTTTACAAGGGTAATTTTTTTTTTTATTTTTTTATTTTAAATGTAGTGTATTATTGATTTTTGAAATAGGAGAACTAATGTGAAACATCTAAAAATCAACAAATAGACTATTAATGTGGCTGGGAGGGAGTATTAGATCAGCTAAGTTGTATCTTAAGATTCTATAATGAAACATAAGGGGGAAAATAGTGAAATAGTGAATGTGATATACATATACACACACATATATCCATTGCATCAACTCCATATAAGTTATCTAACCTAATGGGCTACCTATAGTGGCTAGTGAAAGATGGTATGTGATATGGGCTAAACTCTTCTTAGTGGACTTTATTTACATGAATGGGCTTATAGAGATTAAAATAGGCCAATGAGAGTTATGTGAGATGGGCTAAAATTGCATAAATGTCCAGCAATCCAGCATACCAACACCTTGATATGTTGGACTCACCAAATGTTCTCTCTTTTTAGAGAATAATATTTAACCAGAATGATGGCACCTTGTGTAACAGGTACACCGTGTGGTTCAGTCCAATACAAAGTCTCCAACTAAGAACATATACTCATCAAACTTCAATGGGGATGGGGTTTGAGTTCGGGTGTGGGCAAGAATGCGTAGTGTATTTCTTGTCAATAATAATTAAAAAAAAAAACTTCAATAAGATATTATAAGGTAATCTGAAAATAGATTTTGATTGAACTAAATCGTGGTCTAGGGCTATCTAAAAATTTCTCCCTAGTATAATATTGGGTGTAACAAAACGACTCCATATGATACATTGTAGTGATGTTATTGCTGGTAACTAAAAATGTGTAACATGAAAATTTTCAAGTGCCTTAAACAAGCCATCAGTATTGATTCCAATAGTAGTGTCTTTCTTTCCCTGAGAAATCTTTCAAACAAACATGAAGTATAGTAATTGCTTGAGCAAATGTCCTCAAGAACTTCTTTATTTAACAGAACCTAAAATGTCCTCAAGAACACATCACATGCCTTGCCATCTGATGATAAATGATCTTGGACAGTATGTTATATGTAATACCATCAAATAATGATTTTTTCTGTAAAAATATGCAATTATAACAATAACCATTCATATGTCACAAGCGATGAGAATTGATTTGAGATGCACTTTCTTGAAACTAAATTCGTGTCGTAAATCGAAATCTTCTCTAACAAAATCTACATTTACCTTCATTGCAACTGGAATATAACCATTTTCTACAATGTAGGTTACAGGACAATGGATAAAGAACTCTTGTAAACCTGTTATACAGATCTGGTGTGTGTAAGCTACTCTCTGTCTTCTATGTTTTCACTCGGTTTTATTCGCCTGACCACCTTATAATTCTTCCTTCCAACTATAAGCTCGAGGATAATGCTCTTCTAAGATACCAAAATTGGCTGCATCAGGCCGAGAAAAACCTCCCTTATTACCACGGGCCACGCTGTTAATAAACAAAGAAAGAAAAAAAAAAGAGAAACCTGGTGAGAATGCCCTCAGCCCAGTAATGTGTAAGGAAGAAATTACAAGAAAATGGTTCAGGACATGGGAAGCCTGTCGCAGTTTGCAGGAACCCATCCAATCTGTTGTTTCTCGTTGTCATAGATCACCATTTTGTCTTGCATAGATATGTCTGTAAAAAAAAAAAAAAAAAGGAGTAAAAAGACGAGATTAGCAAGTTAAAACAGAAACTTCCATCCAACAGATTCTGTTCTTTTACTATTTCTTACCACCAATAATGTTGAATTTTCCCAGTCCTACTTCAGACCCATTCAATATACCCAAGCACACACTGCCACGGTCCTGAAAGAGAAGCTCGTTATGTGTTTTTCTTCTAGTCGGTTTTTTTTTTGGTGCCAAATGCAGGAAAAAAATGGCAATAGGGGTGCTTACTGTGACAATTAGATAGGCTTCAGGAGGCAATGTCAGTTGGACATTCTTGCGATTTGAAAAGCTCACTACTATGGGCTTGAAGTAGTCCTTGACATCATGAATAGATTTGAACGGTTTTGCACCTTTCCAGCAGACTGGAAGGTTTCGATCATCGACTGCATCTTTTAATTGCTTTGCGTTCAATTGTTTCTTTATCTAGAAAGATAAATCAATGGTTAATTCCTATATAAAAACAGACAACTCTAACGAGACATTATTCTTTTCTTCTCAACTCACCATAGAAAGTGTAGCTTTGTAAGATTGGGCATTGAAGTAACTATAGGTACTCCCACTGTCAAAAAGGATTGGTACACCCTTAACACCTGTAGCCTGCCTGCCATAAAGGAGTTCTGCCGATCCCAACGAGTAATGTTTCCTTGAAAAAAAGGACCAAAAATAAATAAATAAGAACATCATTACATAATCCAGTGAAGAATGGAACAAGATAAACTATATAGAGGGAGATCGGGAAAAGAAAAGAAAGACTTGCGTGCATACTCTGAAGAACGTTGCAACATTGGTGTCCAGACAACTTCGGAAGAAGGGATCAGATCATCTCCGAAAAAGAGATACCCTCCCCCTTTCCCACTTAAACAGTGACCCATCACATTTCGTATAAGACCCAGGTCATGCAGTTGCGAAACAAAGCTCAATTTGCCATTGCTAAGACCAAGGACTCCATCTGTGTAAGGAGGATCCACAGAATCGGGAACTTCCTGATGGTACCCGCAACTGCATAAAAGAGTATCGGTAAACATGATATTGTTAACCTGGAAGACAAATGTGTATTTTCATTGCAAGGATATACCACTCAATAAAGTTCCAACTTGTTCAGGTACAAAACAATAGACGTTAACTCGGAAAATAATAATGAATTAAAAGGACAGAATTTAACTTTCAGGATTTTGATGTCAAGCTGGACTAGATCAAAACTAATGCCAGAATTCAAATTCAACATTTATGAAATCAAACACAAGTGATAAGGGCAAGTTACCCACCCGAATACTATATTGGGTCCAAAGATACTACCATTGGTGAATCTTAGCGGAAAATAGTCTTTAAGCAGCACGCCCATAGATGAACCAAGATCAGCATACTCGACGTCATAGTCGCATTGCTCATCCGGTGTCTTGCATGGAATGTTTGGAAGGGCGGTACATAGGGGATCCTTACACGTGACAATGTTTTTGTTGGGCTTGTAAAGAGGGTGAGGGGCCTGCAAACAAACAAACACACACACAGAGGTTAGGACAATGACGGGTTGTAACTTGTAATTGCAGAGTGATTCTTGAATGTCATCAAGAGACGATTACCGGAGTGCATTTGGTACAAGGTGCATCACATTGAAGCCAAGTGAGGTCACTGCCACTGTCTATGTCAAGAAAGTAAGGTTTGGGTGGGCGGCCTACATTAAGGGTCACCTGATAGTACCTGCACATGGTAAGAAAATTGTTAGATTGGAGATACAAAGTGAAGGGTAAATAATTTGGATTCTTGCAATTTATATGAATCTCAGTCATATAGTAAAAGAGAGAGAAAAGTAGGGAAATGGGGATAGAGGAAAGAACAATTAATTAGTAAATAAAGAAATATAAATTTAGCCTAGGTTGAAAATTTTCTATCCATAAGCACTTCATATAAATATATGAATATATATATATATATATATATAGAGAGAGAGAGAGAGAGAGAGAGAGAGAGAGAGAGATACAAAAGGAAATCAAGGAATTTAGGATGTGAATTTTTTCAAAGATTTCAGAAAAAATAAATCAATTGGTCATGGAATTACTAAAGAAAGCATGTGGCTCATCATTCGTGAAATAATGCATTAAAAGGGAAAAAAAAAAAAATTTGAATTCAAAGAAAGCAAGAAGCTTCCCAAAGAATTTTTTTTCTAATTCAAACAAACCACACAAAACCCACAAACGAATTAAGGAGATACAAAATTCACAAAATTTAATGCAAAACCCATTTAAGCTGAATACTGAACTCTGCAGAGAACCCCAAAATTAAACACTATATGACCCTTACAAGTATATAAACAACATATATGTAAAGCATTAAATTAAACACACACTGAAAACACACCTACAAGTATACACACACTGATAACACACACATAGATATATGCATATATGATTACATTGCAAAATCCGATAGAAAACCCAAAATCAAATATTACAAAAATCACAAACATTCCAATAACAGAAGCAATAAATAAACATAAAATTCATAACAATTAATGCAAAACCCATGTAAGCTAAATTCTGAAATCAGCAGAGAACCCCAAAATTAAACACTATATGACCCTTAAATATATAAACAAAATATATAGATATATATGCATATATGATTACATTGCAAAATCCTTAAAAAACCCAACATCAAATATTACAAAAACCACCAACATTTCAAGAACAGAAGCATTAAACAAACATAAAATTCATAACAATTAATGCAAAACCCATGAAAGTTAAATTCTTGAATCTGCAGAGAACCCCAAAATTAAACACTGATATGACCCTTAAATATATAAACAAGATATATATATACACACAAATATATGCATATATGATTAAATTGCAAAATCCGATAAAAACCCAAAATCAAAGATTACATACCCCTTAGGATAGACATTTCCAGTGACAGGGAAGACGACCGAGGACCCAAATCGATTTCTTGCTGTTGACTGCTTCTTGTTGTTCTGGGGCTGATTGGAGTCCGAGAAACATCCTTGGAATGCAGTAGAAAATACCAATAGGAAGAAAATCACCATCTTCGATGATGATGATCTTAGTTTTCTTTTGGTTTGCATTTTTGTGGGTCTCCGATTGATCTGTTTTGAAAACAAACCCAAAAGGGGTTCAAAGTTCAAACGCTTTTGATCTGAAAGTGCTCTGAAAGAGGGATAGAGAATATATATAGGACCTCGAAGGGACCTCTCTCTACTACTAGTCCATTGACTGTCTGAACTACCGGTTTTGCTGTGTGGTGTGTGTTTTTTATTGGTAATTAGATTTCATAGGTGTGAAAAGTACTTTAGAGAGAGAAAATACGGAAAAGTTTAGAGAGAGAAAGAGCTTATTTTCCTGGAAATTCAGTTATAACGCGTACGTGGACCAACACGGTCTCGGCTAATCTTTAATCAATCATAGCATTACATGCAAATAAAAATTTAAATAAAGTTTATATATTTATCGAACTATATAAAAATTTCTTTTCAAATAATAAATTTAGATCCACTTAATTTCTCTTCAAGTGTTCGATTCAGTACTTCTTAATAAACGAGGCTGAACAAAATTTTAAAGTCAGATCCTGAATTAGCTTAATTATAAGGTCAAAATTACCCTTCACTATTTAAGGCGACTATTGTTTATGGAAGGGCATCCCTGTCATTGGACTAGCTGAGTTGTTGTATTTGAAAAATACCAAACTAAAGAGCTCTTAGAACTTAGAATAGGCTAAAAATATGAGTAACACCTCTCTAGAGAGGAACCAAAATATGATAGAGGGCATATTATATATATATATATGTGTGTGTGTATGTATGTATGTATATATTACCACTTGGTCATGAAAGTTGAAGAGAGAAACTTCCAAGAAATGCAAAAACAATGCAATATAATAAAAGCTCATTTACTTTGATCAAACAGCACTGCCCAAGTTTGTGATCCAAATAAAAACTAGCGGCCCAAGTCAGAACAGAATAAAATATTCATGAATCATGGAAATATATTTTGTTTCCAATATTAGTCACAACTCACACACATCTTTTTGGATGTCTTTTATTTTATTTATTTTATTTTTATTTTTTATCCAAACAAATGACACACTAATTCACATGCTTATACGTAGAGAAAGTTTAAATATTTTTTTTTGCGATCCTACTTACCAAACTTGTGTAAGTTTCTTATCAAGAAAAAAAATAAAATAAAATAAATACCAAATCATAGTGGTTTCAAATTTATTTTCTAATGCTAATGAAATTTATGTTTTTCTTTAAACATCTTTTCATTTGATGAATCCTTATATTTATTAATTCTATGATACGAGTGAGATTTAAATTACAAATTTGTATAATAGAAATTATTCGAACTTATACTCAGTACACTAGATATGATTCGTTCAGACATCGAAAATTTCATCCAATTACATTACCTCAGTGAGAACAATAAAATTTATGTTTGTTTTCATACTTCCACGACCTTAATTCGAATCCTTTGCATTGATTATAGCTCTTCATGCATTCAATGACTCCTAATCTCGATTATTTGACATGTTCATTCTTTTTTAAAAAATCTTATTTCCCAAATCAGTGGTTTAAAGCATTTTTTTGGGAAATAAAATGTTCTAGATGTGTTTTGAAAATCTGATAGAATATAGCTGTGTTCAAATAGCTAAATACTCTTAATCGGTATCTTACACACGTATTCTTAATTGTGTTAGATGCGTATTCATCTATGTCTCATGCAAGTATTCGTGTGAAACACTATGCGAGCATCTCGTAGAAGAATGTCCATAGCTCCTTTATCGGAATTGAATTTACAAAAATAATTTTTTGTAAAACAGAACGTATTAACATTTTATGACACTACAATTTAGAAAGCGGAAAAAGAATTTAAAAAAGTTGAGCCAGATACAAAAGCTCTACTACGGATTAAGGAAAGGCATTCTCTTTCTTTTCGTAGGCTCGAAGTCTACACCAGTCTTTCTCATAATCAATGAACTCTTATGAAAAAGGTTGATTTACAACTCATTCTCAAATTTATGACAATTTTTTACATTGCCGGATGGCAGTTGGCAGGCTGACGTATTTCTGGTACAATTTGAAGAGTCTTTGACCACTCATTTTTATAATATATATATATATATATATATATATATATCAATATTACTAATTCTAAGCTGATGTTTGGAGTTACACTATAATTTTTAAATTTGTAATATTTTTTATCAAACATGTTTTTATATTGTTGTTTTTAAAAATATTGTAACAAATTTACGTTACCAAATAAGTTTCTAAATAATATTAAACACATTCTAAAAATAAAAACATTAATTCTGCTTCGAGTTAAAACAAAAATATAAAACAACTATAGTTGCCAAACGCACCCAAACTTTTGAATTTTAGTGTTACAACTAGCAATTTGCCCTTCTCTTCTATTTATTAAGTGCCTGCTTGGGGGAGCTTTCTGAATTTGCTGTAATCTGAATAAAAGCTCATTTACTTTGATCAAACAGGACTGCCCAAGTTAGTGATCCAAATAAAAACTAGGGGCGCAAGTCAGAACAGAATAATATTCATGAATCATGGACATATTTTGTTTGCAATATTAGTCACACACATCTTTTGGGATATTTTTTATTTTTATTTTTTTATCCAAATGACACACTTATTCACGCGTTTATACAAAGAGAAAGTACTATTAAACTAGACTAATATCTTTAAATAATTTCTTTGCGATTCTACCGGCCAAACTTGTGATAGATTTTTTGTCAAGAAAAATAAATAAATACTAAATCATAGTGGTTTCAAATTTATTTTCTAATGTTAATGGAACTTACGTTTTTCCTTAAACATCTTTTCATTGGATGAACTCTTATATTTACCAATTCCATTATACGAGTGAGATTTAAATTGCAAACTTGTATAATAGAGATTATTCTAACCTACACTTGGTACACTTGATACGATTCGTTCAGACACCGAAAATTTCATCCAAATACGTTACCCAAGTGAGAACAATAAAATTTATGTTTGCTTTCGTACTTTCACAACCTTAATTCGAATCCCTCACATTGATTATAGCTCTTCATGCATTCAATGATTTGGTCCTAATCTTGTTTATTTGACATGTTCATTCTTCTTTTAAAAACAATTTATTTCCCAAATCAGTGGTTTAAAGCATTTTTTTGGAAAATAAAATGTTCTAAATGTGTTTTGAAAGTCTCATATAATAAAGTTGTGTTCAAGTAATTAAATACTTTTAATAGTCGATGTCTCACACGAGTATTCTTAACCATATCAGATGCATATTCATCTGTGTTTCACGCGAGTATTCGTGTGAGACACTTATGTGACCAGAATGTCCATGGTTCCATGCTTTACAGGAATTGAATTTATAAAAACAATTTTTAGCGAAACAGACCTTAGTAACATTTTATGTCACTACAATTAGAAAGCTGAAAAAGAATTTTAAAAAGTTGAGCCAGACACAAAAGGTGTATTAAGGAAAGGCATACCCTTTCTACGTAGGCTCGAAGTCTCCACCTGTCTTTCTCATAATCAGTGAACTCATTGTCAAATTTATGACATGTTTTTTACATTGCCGGATGGCGGTTGGAAGGCTGACATATTTCTGATACAATTTGAAGAGTCTATTTTGACTACTCATTTTTATAATATATATATATATATATCTATATTACTAATTCGATGTTTGGAGTAACCCTGTAATTTTATTTTATTTTATTTTTTTGGTGCTTTTACTTATGTGAAAATGACAAATTCTGAAAAATTGTGCTTATCATTTTTGTCAAAACCAAAATATTTTGGAAACGTACATATGCTATTGTACAAAGTGATTCTTGTCCTATTTTAAAATTTGCATTGGCTAGTGTTTTTGATGCGTATTTTTTGCTTTTGCTAGTACACTGTCAAGGAGCAAAAGTACAAAGTATGTTCGGTAATATTTGTTATACTTTTAAATAGTACGAAAACGCTTCTAAAATTGAAGCTAAAATCAGAAGTATCAAAATAATACTTTTGTTTGTTTTTGCGTTGTAGCAAAGTAATATTCAAAAAATAAAAAAAATAAAAATTCTAAAATAATATTTTTAACTAAATATTCAAAATTTTAAATTTACAATACTTTTTACCAAACATCTTTTCATATTTTTGCTTTTAAAAATCATGTAACAAATTTATGTTACTAAATAAATTTTTTAATAATATTAAACATACTTTAAAAATAAAAATATTAATTTTATTTCGAGTCAAAGCAAAAATATAAAACATTTGGGTTACCAAACGGCCCAAACTTTTTGAATTTTAGTGTTACAGCTAGCAATTTGCCCTTTTCTTCTATTTATTGACTAACTTCTAATGTTGCAGGAAGCTATCACCCTTATCAATTAATGTTGATATACAACCGAAATCCGTCAATCATAAATGTAGCTCTGGGACAAAAATGTCTTCTTCTATTTGGGCGATAAACCTAGTAAACAAATTGTAGTACAATCATTCTCTCCTTTTTTTATTAATTTAAATTCAATTATTATTTATGCCTTTTGTTTTTGATATTTTTATTTTATCAAGAACTGAATGTAGTGAACAGTAAAAATAACATATTTGGTAAAAATGTTTTGTTTTGTAAAGTGCCTAAATGTTTTTTGAATAATGACAAAATTGAAACACCAATTTGATATTTTGGTATGTTTTCGCACGTTAGGTACTGTAACAATGAATAATAATAACATATATATATTTTTTTATTTAAAAAAACTCACATTTTAAAACTAATCATTATATTTTTTAAACTTGCAACACTTTTATACCAAAAATGTTTTTATATTTTTCCTTTCAAAAATCTTGTAAAAAATGGAAGTTACCAAACATGTTTTTGATAACTATTCAAAACCTAAGTCACACCATCTTTCCGAGCACGCTTTCGCTCTCATGCTTTGCTAGGACTGCAACTTGGGCAGGCCCAACCTGAACCGAAAATACTATATATATTTATAACTAGTCTTAAATCACAAGAGAAGTGCAGTCAAGTTGGTAGTGTTTAGGATTTATGTTAAAGGTTTCAAATTTGAGTTCTAGGCTTGGGTTGGGTTGGGTTGGAGTTGAAGATTTTCTATATGAACTGAGCCCGAGTTAAGTGCCCAGCCTGCCCGAGTTACAGCACTACGCTCCGCCCATACTCTCACTTCCATTCTTAGTATTTATGACTTAATTTTGTCGTTTTCACTCTCTTGCTCTCGCAACCACTTTAGTTCAAAACACCTATTTTGTTTTAGGTTAAAACAAAATGGCCCTCCTAAGTGATAAATGATGTTGTTATTACTTAAAATTTTTATCCCATTTTAAATAGCACTTACTCTTTTAAATGATATTCAAATTGCATTATCAAACATATATAATTAAATAAGTACTTAATCGCTAAATTGAGTTATCCAACAAAATCATTCATTCTGAATTTTTGTAACATTCCTTAAAATGGTTAATATAAATCCATTCCTTTCAAATCCTTCACATAATAATAGTCTGGATTATAATCAACTAACATAAGGCCCCAAACCCCGTAAAAATCCCAATTTGGATCTCTCCTCCTTTTTGAAGAATCTTAATCATTTCTCACTACACTTTTGTTGTGGGATCATGCAGTGCAACATCACCATATTTATTTTGAGATTTCACAACATTAAATACTGAATTTTATCACTATAATGATGAAATTTTGCCATTTTTTAATTACCAAAAAAAATGGTAAAATTCACCATTTTAAGTGGTGAAGTTCTATGAATTTTGATCAATGTTAATGACAACTGTACACAAGCATGAATAAAAAAAAAATGGAAGAAAACTGGTGTTGATTCTCTTATATCTCAAGTAAATAATACCCCATATCATTGTTTTCATGCGAATCATAGAAAGAGTAACAGCATGACGAGTTTAACCAGAAATTTCGATTTCGAGAAATAAGTTACTAAATTTATCTACGAAATTCAAAGATGTGAATGTAGGTCCAATAAGTGAAAGAACAAAAAGTATGTTCACTCATACACAATCTACTCAAGACTGTGAGTACTGCACAGTAGAAATTTCCCAGGCAAATAATTACCAGAGTTTAAGAGTAAGGAAAAAAGAGCAGTGCAATGTTAATACATTAATAAAATCATTGTTGCACTCGAATTTTTTTTTTTTGGGCAAACTAGGGAGGGGAACTTGAACACTGGCATACCCGCTCGGAGACCTGGGCACTTTACCGATAAGTCCACTGGGTAATGCCTAATTTAGAGAAATAAGTTACTAAATTTATCTAAGAAATTCCAAAATGTGAATGTACAAGTGAAAAACAAAAAGTAAGCTCACCCATACACAATCTACTCGAGAATGTGAATAATACAAACGCAAGAAAAATTTCCCAAGAAAATAATACATTCAAAAAGTCACTGTTGCACTTCGGAATTCATCAAACTGAAGTTCGATCAGGACGCATAAAATGGAACCATTTACATGAACATATGCCACTACTTCAAAATGCATTCAGCATTCTGTAACCACCAGATTTAAAATCATATTCAAGGTGCAATGATATATTTAAAAGCATATTCAAGGTTCAATGATATATTTATCAGCATATTCAAGGTGCAATGATATATTTATATATTACAAACAATTTGGGGAATTCACAAATCACCACATTCAAGGTGCAAAGACAAAATCTTCCACCGAGAGACATCAATATATTTCGAACACATGGTGTTACATGTAAGTTATCACAAGTAAAGTAGGAATTGTGAAGGTTAACTTTACCTGTAACTCTCTAGGGTTATTATGGAAGGTATGGCGAGGACCTATTACTCCAATTTCAGAACTTTTTCCAATGAGACTTCAGAGGCTTGTTCTGTCACAGAAGATGACTGACCTGAAAGAAGGCTAACTGAAAGCTTCATCGTTGACTTCCTGATTCTGTTCTAAAAGAATTGGATGGCACAACATCATTTTCAGAAGTCCCGGTTGTTCTGAAATCGGCCATTATCAGCATGAAGGTCTGATTCTTTCCCACAAACATAACTCTTATCACCGAAGCATTCTACATAGTCTCAACTTCTGTTAAGCACATACAGCCTGCAAACTTCAAACCTAAATGTCTACAAATTTAGACCAACATAAGAGGGTTGAATTATCAACATGTGCTTCCTAATTGCACACATTAATACTATATGCCTATTAAGAAGAGATCATTTCAATCTCTGTCAATGATTCAGAGAACTGTTCTAGAAAAGTATCAAATAGTTGCACAATAAATTAGGAAACATGAGTTCACAGATATTGCATAATCTACTAAATGACCATACACCCTATATAATTCAATGTCAAGTGAAAGCCACAATTAATTGAAGTCAAGTTTGAAAAACAAACCAACATTGTACTACCATGCTTTTCTTCATAAATTAATTTCTTAAATATATATCATTTTTAGATATGAAAATTCCAATCCCCTCTTGAGTCAATTCCAATGTATACACGCTCTCCATTATACCCTTTAAATAGATCCTAGTATAAGTTTTGCTAACAGCATAAACAATTATACAATCGACAAGAATATAGAGATATTTTTCCTACTACTATAAAATTAGTTATAGCATCGGTTAGGGGTGAACCAAATGGGGGGTAGAGGGATATTGTTGAATGGATGATGAGAGGGAAAAAGGGGTGCAACAGTGAAATCTCGCAAGTTGTAGATACCAACATCGTCCTTCTTCTGGTCGTCATACATTTGGACGTCATCGGAGAAGTAGATTGAATTAGGCATCACTACTCCAGGAGGGAAGTCTTGAGCTGAGAGTATGAAGGGCTGACATAAACCCACAAACACCACTCGATCACGGAGGCATTCCACAGGGTCCCAACTTCCTTTAGCCACACTGAGCTTGTAAACATCAAACCGAAGCGTAGTGAAAGAGATTCGCGTCCAACGCCTGTCAGTCAAGTCAATGATGGTGCCATCATCCTCAAGGGGTGCAGTATACCTCCAAACTAACAGAACATCCCCAGAACACGAGTCCACCACCAGGTACATTTTCAGCCTGAGGCTTTTGTTTAATCTCAAATTCAATTCAGACACTGGTAAATTGGGTGTCCGAATTCTGGAAGTGTCAATACAGATTCTCAGTGGGGAAGGACCGCGAAGATCCCAGGTTTCAATGTTTGCAAAGCCATCTATGCAATAGAACAACCGGTCTTTGCTCGAATATGCAACCGTGTAGTCGTGCTTCAACTCACTGTCTAGGACTTCCCAGGACTCGTCACCTGGTTTACAGAAGAATAGCATATTCTTCCTATGTAACAGTGTGTTAGTCTTTGTTGCAATAGCCATTACTATGCACTCATCCCCGTCGGTGGTAGAAGTTGGCGATGTAGGAGCAGATGACATGACAAGCCTTCTTATGTAACGCGTTCCCAAGAAGGGAAGGCTGATGGTGGGCGGAACCGGGGAGATGAGGGGATTGGTTAATAGTAGAGAACAGTCACGAGGGTTTAAAAAGGCCAGCCATCCGTGGGAGGACATCAAGCACTTTGCATCATCGGGTAGGACACTCCTGCCATTCTTGACCCTGAAGAGCTTCTTGTTGGCAAGCCTGCAGAACAAATAATCAGAAGAGGGAGGAGGAGCCATGGCTGTTTCTTCATCATCATCATCCGCAGTGACCTTGGAAGCAGGTATGAGCAGATATGGTGGGGTATTTCGCCGCCAAGAAAAGTACCAGCTTAAGGACGATGATAACATCCTCCAAACAGATGCAATGAAATCTAAGTTTTCCATGGCCATGGAAAGGAATTTTGGTTACCACTTCCTGTAATGGAAGAAAATTAAAGCAGAAATGTTAACGTGCCATTTCTGTTGATTATAGTATAGTATTAGTCCCCATTTTCCTGAAAACTTAATAAATTCAAAACCATTTTCAAAAGGCAATGCAAAAGTGTGTGTACAGATAACTAAATAAGTATATATAGGGATGATCACTTAATACAAGTGTAAAGAAGTAGCTAGGTCCAAATCACTTAATGCAAAAAAAAAAAAAAAAAATTATTAATCCCAACAATGGGTTTAGATTAATATCATTGTGCAATGTAAACAAGTGTGTTGAGTATATATATTTCAAGGGATTAAACAACAATGTTATTGAGTTTGGTGCTAATAATCACACTTTAAAGTTTAAACAAACATGGTTTCACTAATTGAACAGAAATTAATAAAATAGAAGGTGAAAAAAAAAAAATTGAATTCTGTACCTCCAATTTCTAGGTCTGCGCCGAAGAGGAAGGTCCTCCGATCTGTTTGAAACCAGCTCAAATCTGTGAAGACTCACTCTGCTTCCATTTCCAACAAAGAAGAAGAAACGGAGACTACAAGCTACTGTATATAGAGAGAGATTCTCTCTCTGTTGCATGATATATATATATATATATATATATAGAGAGAGAGAGAGAGAGCGATAGAGAGAGAGAAAGAGGTGGTCGTCGTTGTCAAATGTAAAGGCTCTCTCTGTTTAACATACATAAAATTTAAACAGAGAATCAAATGTAAAGGCTCTCTCTTGCCTGATATATATAGAGAGAGAAAGCGAAAGAGAGAGAGAGGCGGTCGTAGTTGTCAAATGTAAAGGCTCTCTCTGTTTCACATACAGAAAATTAAACAGAGAATCAAATGCAATCCCAGGTATATATCCCCATACCTCAGCAAAAAGATCATATACTAAAAAGAATCTCACCATCACCATCGATTTCTTCTCCATTTGTGAGATGATTCAAGGCTTCTTGGTGAGAGAGAATGAAATAAATGTGGGGTTTTGGGTCTTCTATTAGTGTTGAAGTGAAATCAAATTGTCAATTTGAAACTCAAATTTAATGGAGGAAAGAGACAGAGAGAGAAGATTTGCAGAGAATATAGAGAGATAAAAGCGGGCAATCTTTTTCTTGGGTAGAGACAGAAGATTTGCAGAGTCAGGTACTCTAATAATAAATAAAACCCAGACCTATACTATATTGTTAGAAATTAAAGTTTAATTTTGGAGTACAATTTTACTAAACGGAGAAAAATAATAAAAATAATAATAAATTTGAGGGTTATAAATGAGTTTGGCACAAGTAAAATAAAATTTAAAGTGCTGAAGAAATACCAAAAATGATTTGGTTTTGAGAATGTCTTTTGAAAACAGTATTTTTAGTACTGTGGCATATTCAATTTAGTTTACTTCACATCTAAGATGCATGAATACGTCTACAGGAATGACGTATTCATATTGCATACATGTTGAATATCAATACTCTTCAGATTCTCGCGCATACATTTTCGATACTCCTTAAACATATACGTCCGATACTTCTAAAATATTTCAATTGCTTATTTAATACTTATCAGATGCTTCATAATACATTTTTAATAAGTTTTGAACATTAAAATGATTTTTTTAAAATTTTTTTTTTTATTATTTTTTTAACAAAAATAACATAACATAATTGATAAAAAAAAAAAAAAAAACATTTCAAATTTTATTAAGTGAAGACTAAAGATGATTGTTTTATAAATTGTGAAACTAACTCCGATGTTAATTTGATGATTGCATTTAGATTCATAATATTTTTAAAAAATAAATTGACTAAAATTTAATTTTTTAATATATAAAAATATAATTTATTAATTTTCTATTATCGTATCATGCCGTATCATATTTTGTTTTTTAAAAATTTATTGAATTGCCGTACTCGTATTGTGTCCTATTTGTATTTATATTTGTGCTTCTTAGCCTCACATACATTTTTGTGCAAGAAGAAATTTTAAGAAGAGAGACAAAATAAATAAATAAATAAATAAAGAAGAGAATATTTTGATATGAAGGCTGAGCCCAAAAGACCAAAACTTTAATACAAATTTTGAGCTTAACTTTTTCCAATTCCAAATCTAAGACACAGATTCGGTGAAATTCACAATTTAAAGTAGTAAAATTTCAAAGTAAATATGGTAGAGTTACACTGTGAGTTACTGCAGAAATAAGTCATCTGGAGAATTTTGAGTCACATTTGAAAGCCAGACATTAGAAAGAAAGATTAAAATTAAAATTAAAATTAAAATCAAAATAAAAATATAACTTGTATCCTCCTCAATATATAATTGTGTGTGTATATATATATTTCTATAAATTTTATTTTCATGCTATTGTATGATATCCCTGGTGAAAATCCATTGCCTTACACCAGTTACATTATCTACCTTTCAGCCTTATTCCTCTAGTCTCTTCTCAAGAATCTTCAATTGCATGACAATGCTCTGCTAAGGTTGAGAAACAATATTATTATCACAAACTGTAAAATTTTCAAGTAAAAATGCTCTAATCATACTCGAGTTGAAGAAAGATACAAGAAAAAAGTTCAAAATCGCCTATCGCAATTCGAAGAAGCCCATCCAATCATCCTTCTCTCATTGTCATAAACCACCACCTTGTCTAACATAGAAATGTCTGTAAAAGCAATACATATGTTAACTCAAATCAAATCAACTCTTGCACAAACAAAATATGTGTATTTGGGTTTTTGTTCTTTAGCATTTCTTACCTCCAATGATATTCGGATGTTCCAAATTTATTTCGCCTGCATTCAGAATCCCCATGCACACATTGCCACGAGACTGTAAAGCAAGACCTTGTCAACTGTCCAAGTTATGAATGTATAATTGTTCTATCTTTTAGTCATAATTCAAGTAAAACTGGTTTCAAGATGTTCTTACAGTAACGATGAGATAATTTTCAGGTGGTAATGCAAAACGAACATTGTTCCTAAACCTTAACACTAAGGGACTGAAGTAGTTTTTGACTGCTTCTATGGATCGAAAAGGCTTGGCACCTTTCCAGCACGCTGGTAGTTCATCCTCAACTGCCTTTAATGGCTTTGTCTTTAACTCCGTCATAATCTGAAAACACTAATCAGAATGAGTTTTTTTTTTTCCCGAAGTTCAAGCAAACGCGCATGCACACACACACAATATTGCCCTGGCAGGGCTTGAACACTCAACCTCCCCACCTTAGTGTATTGTTGTATGTATGGGAATTAAGATAAGTGTATGTGCTCCCACTGTCAAAAACTATATCAAGATTCTCGGCAACAAGAGTCTGCTCGCCAAGCAGGAGGTCCACTGGTCCAGACAAGTAGTGGTTCCTGAAATAAATCATAATGAGATGATCCAAAGAAAGAAGTGGCAATATGGAGTAGTTCCATGGGAGTACTTACAAGGGATTGGTTTCCATTGGTGTCCAAACAATTCCTGAAGGGATGAGACCATCTCCAAAGAAAAGAAATCCTCCCCCTCGCCTACTGAAACAATGACCAATTACATTCCGTGTTAGACTTAGACTGTGTAGCTGCCGCAGAATGCTTGATTTGCCGTCAGCAAGGCCAAAAACTCCATCGACAGGAAGAGGAGATGGATCAGAAAATTTCTGATGGTATCCACACCTGCCAATGAGTCATGAGAGAGTTAGTTATAGAAGCTAAAGACAGAACATAACAAAAAAGATCTAATTATCTCAAGACAGGTATATAGCGAGGTTCAATTGATAGAAACTACTGCCTAATGTTGGGTTATTTCACCCACAAGTGATAAAATTGTGGACATGGCGTCCGCATTGATATTTCTCGTGGGTGATATGATTTGGATGGATGTATTTGGCTATATAATTGGGTGTATTTCAGAAGACGTATGCACCTTGTAGGCGCATTGAGTTATGCGTATTGTGCGCATGAGTGTTGGTTGCAGTATGCGCCTTATTGGCATATCAACACATGGTGGTGCACCAAAGTATCAGGATGAGTGTGGTTGGCGTATGCATGTTGTAGGCATATGCGTGTTGGCGAAGTATCGGTATGGTACACGTGGTTGACGCATCAGTGTTGGCGTATGCATGTTGTTGGCGTTTGCGTGTTGTTGGCACCTCCAAAGTATGAGTTGAGAGAGATGTAACCTTATGAGGGAGTTGATGGGTAGAGGGAGTTTATGCACAAAACAAAAAATATATCGGACCCCTTCTCTCAAACCTACAAGTTTGGTAGTGAGAACACGGATGGCGAGGGGCATCTCGTGGAGTGATAAACGGTGTAAGGCTCGGGTATCTATCACCCTACCCAGGAGTTTGTATGCACGGTCTTGTGTTCGGTGTTATCTTCCGTTGAGCAGGTATTTGGCTTTGCGGTGAATAGTGCAATGACGAAGATGAGAGATAGGTTTCGCAGGTTGCGAAGGTACTGTTTTTCAACTATTCTGTTTTAGATTCTTAGGGAGGATCGTTTTTCCAATGGGCGTTTAGGAAGGGTTGGTTGTAGTAAAAGTAGATCGCATTATTTTGGAATTCTCTGATTGTAACTTCTCAAGTTAGGGCATAACTTGAGAACAAAGTTGTACTGGTTGATTTTATTAGTGGAGATTATCGTTGGTTTGGCCCCCCAGATTTTTTTTTTCCTTCTATACTGTAGGGTTTTTCCATGTCTATTTGGTGTCCAGTTTTTTTGCCTAGTTTAGTTTTAAATCTTGAAGGTTATTTTTCTTAGCCCAAAATATTTGGAACCAACACCTAATTGGTTTAGCTTATCGATGTCCTTGAGTAAACTGAGGATGAAGACCCAATGATATGCTCCTTCTTTCACACTAAAGAGATAGATGGGTAGAAAATTTAAATGAAAGGTGAAAAAGAAAAAGTTTGATAGTTCACTTCAAGCATGAGTCATTTCTGAATTTTGACCAACTTAGATAGTTCACTTCAAGTAAACTGAGGTAACATAGATTGTTGACATTTGAAGTATTTTCTCTCATTAATGAAAATTAAAATGCCCAAAATGCTAATTGACATTTGTCTGAAAAAACAGAAGACAGTAATTGTTCTCGAACTTGACTAAGATAAAAGTTAGTTGGGATCACAATCACATTTAAGCAAGTTTTGGTTCAGATAAAGTGAGAAGGCAATTACCTACCCAAAGGCCAGAATGTGTCTATTAGCAGCTTTATTGAAGGTAAAGTAGTCTCTAACCAGCACACCAAGAGAAGAACTATGGTCGGCATATTCAACCACATAGTGACATCGATCATTGGGGCTCCTGCAGGGATGATCCGGCGGTTGGTTGACAGAGGCACATAAGGGGTCCTTACAGCATACAACATTGTTCTTGGGCTTGTATGAATTGTGGTGGGGCTGTATACACACATGCATAGAGGGAGAGAGATGAGAAAACAATGAAAAATAGTCCTCGAGTTTTCTTGTCAAATGAATGAAGAATTTACCTTGTGCAGTTTGGCTGGTACTTCACATTGGACCCAAGTAAGGTCACTGCCGGTGTCTATATCAAGATGGTAGGTTTTGGGTGGATTTCCTATTATCACATAAACAAAGAAGAACCTGCATATTGAAACGAACTTAAGGCTCTTAAGATTGTCAGAAGAGGCATATCATGAAAATTCTATGAATTTTGATCACTGTAAATGACAAATGTACACAAGCATGAAACTGCTAGGAGATACAACTCTGGGGAAGAAAATTCTTTGTTAATCTCATCTTTTTGGTAATAAATTCGTGCTTTTTACCCAAAAAAATGCAAAGAAACCCCATTAAAAAAAAAAAATTTGAAGTTCCGAGGAAAATTGGTGTTGATTCTCTTATATATTAAGTAAATAACACTCGATTCATTTCAACTCGACAAAGCTCTAGTCATAGTCACAGCCATATCATTGTTTCATTCAAATCATAGAATGAGTAATAGCACGATGAGTTAACCAGGAATTTTGAGAAAAGGGTCACTAATATTATCTACCAAATTCCAACTTGTGAAAGTAGGTGCAATAGGTAAAAGAATCAAATTAGAGGAATTGCTTTATGGACAATTCATCCAATCCCCCCGACGGCTTACAAAAATTGGACCAATTTTTGGTTCCCCTGTTTGATACATCAATGATATAAATTCTGAAGAGTTTTGACTATATATTGAGTTATATAAAATTTTGATTGATATACAATGCCACAATTGTCAAAATTCAGCTATGTATAAGTTCTATCAATCTATAAAATGGGACTAATCATATGAATGGTGTCAATCCTTTAGAACATGTGACAGTCAATATTTCTGGGAAGACTCATCAGAAATTAGAGGTTTGTTTTTCAAAGAAACTGCAAAAAAATTTAGACATGAAACAAATGGGTCATGAAATTTTCCAGGAAAGTTGAAAAAAAAAAAAAAAGTAAAAGGAAAAGAAAATTCCCCAAAACAAAAAATCAACAAATTTAAACAAATTATACAATCCCAAAAAATCCTAAAAATCCAATCAGTTAACAAACACAAAAACCAATGAAAGAATTTATAGATATAGAGACATAATCACATACCCATTAGGATAGACATCTGCATGAACAGGGAAAATGAAGGAGGAACCCATACAATTGGGGGATTGGGTCTGCATTTTCTTGTTGTTGTGAATCTGTTTGGCAGATGAGGAACAGAATTGAAACATAGCGGTGAAAAGTAAAGCACACAACAACAGCCTTGATTTTGTTTGTTTTTTAATCTCACCCATCCTTGATTTGACCGCGTGGCTGTGTTGTAGTGGATTCTACCGCCATAACTGCAGAGGAAGTTGATGGTGGAGGATTCTACCGCCAGATTTGAAAAGTTTGGTGCCGGCAAGTTCGTTATCACCATCATGGGTCGATCCACGCCTGATCCTTGAGTTATATAGAGTTTTTAGAGAGAAGATTTTTATGGGTGGTGGTCGTCTAAGCGAAGCAGAAGATGATGATCTGAGAAATTATTATTATTATTTTTTTTTGGGGAAATTCAAGCCATGGAAGAGGATAAAGAATTCCTATAATAATCGTTCTGTTGACATTCACCGGCGGATGTTGGGTCTTGGTTTGTTGTGGTCGTCTTTGCTTCCTTTGTGTGGTCGTCTTTGCCTTGGAACGAACAAAAAAAAAAACACACATTCACCAGAGAGAAGTAGAGAGAAATTAATAATTTAGAATTTGGCTCACTGTCGTCTCATAAAGCATGGCAAATTTTTTATTTTTTCCTTTTCCATTTTTAACAATGATGAAATTCTGATTTATTTTTTTTTTAAAAAAAATTAACCGATAGTATTTCCATTTTTAACAATGAAATTCTGATTTTTTTATTTTTTTAAAAAATTAACCGATAGTATATTTTAAATTATGACCAAGTATGGAGAGAGTTATTTAACCAAAATATATATATATATGGAGAGAGTTTGAGCCACCTTTCAAAGTGGGGTTGTGATAGTGTTGGACCCACTAACACGATATAAATAAAGTATTTTTTTTATCCTGTTATTCATATAATTTTAAATAAATTAATAATTTAGAATTTAGAGTTAAATTAACGGATAGTATATTTTTATTTAAATAAAATTTAATTACAACAAGTATTTGTGTGGCATAGAATAGTAAGCTTTTCTCTATTATTATTATTATTTTTAAGTAAAAAAATAATATATATATATATATATATATATATATATATATATATATATATATATATATTACAGAATTTAACAATACTAGACACGCGCTAAGGAATTAGCATGTGTTTGCATTCACAACTATGAATTTTATTTTTTAATTTTTTAAATATTTTTCTTTAATTAAAAGTACAATAATATATATGTAACGAAAAATATAAGTTCAAATATTATTATACAAGAAAAGAATTTTTTTTTTTTTTTAACTAAATTCACAAAATTAGACAAATTGCATAAAACCGCCTTTAATTTGGTTGGTGAGGGTATTTTTGGCAACAAAAAAAAAAAAAAATCCCCTCGATTAGTTGAGGGGGGCTTTATTAACAAAAATATAGTAAAGGGGGGGTTTTATTGCAAAATGGTGAAAGTCAAGGGAGGTTAAATGCAGTTTACCCTAATTTTTATTTTCTTAAATCTAATATTTTTTTAATTAATCCATAGTATTCTTTAAATTGCATTGAATTCTATATATATATATATTTTTTAAATAGGGATTATTACATATAAATGGTGCTAATGATCCATATTTACTATTTGATAAAGTCAAAGTTTCATAATTTCAAAAAAATGAAAACATGAAAAAATACTATTTACCCTCAGAGAGTATCACTTTTAGACACATTGATACTGTTTCTTGTGCAAGTAGGTACTACTTTTTGTCATCAGATATTACTTTTTGTGTTGTACAAAAAATCGTACTTGATGCACAAAAAGTGATATCTACATGCACAAAAAGTGGTACTTGTATGCCAAAAACAAAAGTGGTACCTGATAAACAAAAAGTGGTACTTATATATCTAAAAGTGGCACCTTGTGTTTTTTCATATCCAAGTCAGCATTTTGGTCAACTTCATTTTTTCGAAACTATAAAACTTTGACTTCATTAAATGTTAAATATGGGTCATTAGCACTATTTATATGTAATAATCATTAACAAATAATTACAAAACTACTAAAAGTATCTAAAACGTATTATTGCATTGTCCCTATCGTATTCCAATCATATTCGATAAAAAAATAAAATATTTACTATTCAAATACTTTTTGTCGTATTTCAGGCCGTATCTGCTAATCTATAAAGTATTGGAAGATTTGAGATAGCTTAAAATAAGTACTTGTGCTTCCTAAAAAATAACCTTATCTGGATAAAAATGTTACATATATTAAAGTGGGTCACAAGAATTCGGATCAGAAAAGACCAATTTTGATAAACAATGTTAAGGTCATTTGAGGGTTATAAAAATGAGTTTGGCACAAGTAAATTAATAAAATAACAAATATAAAAATTATTTGACTTTGAAAATAGCAATGATAGTATGTTCAGCAAGAATTAAGTTTTTGGTAGTCCAAACTTGTATCCTTATGAATTATTATTAATTCTATTAAAAGATTGTTTTCACACGTTCATGAGTGCCATGAAGAAAAGATAGAGATAAAGTAACATTTTGATATTATTTTGTTCTAAATATTTAATTAGTTTCGTATTCAATTTATTTATTATTAATAATTTTTTTTAAGCTTTTAACCTTACACTAAAGAACTCAGATCCTCTCATGTGACATATGATTTTACATAATTAATTCATATTATAATATTGCATAACCGATATATTGTGTTGGTTGATTTATATTATAATATTACATAACCGATATATTGTGTTGTGTAAATAGTATATGATGTTTCGTTTAATACGCATGAATAAAACATTTTATTCCAACCGTTTTCTTATTTGATATGATATTTAGAATGAGAACGACCATTTATTTGGAATGAAAATCCATTTCACATCTAAATAGATAGAACAAAAATTCATTACAAGGAATGAAATTGTTAGTCACCACCGCAGCCACCATAATCCACCACTACCGCCACCGCTACCACCGCTGCCTTCTGCACCAACACCACCGCTACCACCACTGCCTTCCACCACCACCACTGCTATTAACACCTTCCTTCGCGCCACTAACACCGTGGTTGCCTTCCGCCACCACCTTCCACCGCAGCCATCACCTCCTTCCGCCACCACTTTCTTCCATTGCTGCCATTGTTGCCACCACCTTTCGCCACCACCACTATCTTCCACCACCACCTTACTCCACTGCTACAACTGTCATTGCCGCCGCCACCACCACCGTTGTCATTACAGCCACCCTCCACCGCCACTGCCTTTCATCGCCACCAGCATTACTTATAATCAAGGGAGCCTACCCAACAAAAAAAATAAAATAAAAAATATATCATTTTGGTGCACAGAACGCATTGAAGGGGATCCTCTCAAAGCCTCCCAAAAAAAAGAGAGTATCATTTTGATGCACATGACGTATTGAATGGGATCCTTTTTCGTCTTCTTAGATTAAAAGAACGCTCCAATTGAATCCTCATTTGGTTTCAGAGAAAGAGAGGGATATGTCCATCCAACCTATCAAAATATGTATTAGAAGAATTTAGTCGTTAATATTGTATTGTGATAATTATGGACGGTCCCAACCTTGGATGGAAGAGTAAATGTCATTGTTCTGTTGTCTTTGATGACCTAGACTCTTAATTCAGTTCTCAACAATAGTGAGAAAAATAAAAATAAAAAATAAAAAATAAAACAAAGAAAGAAATGAAATGGAATGGAAAATGTAAAGTAATTTTCATCCTTCCTCATCATTTTGCTACTTTTATAAAGAAAATCGAACTTGTAAAAAGTTATAAGAAGTCCTTCTTTTTTCCTTCACATTTTCTAGATTTTATCACAAATTCACAATTTATTTTCTTACTTTTGTACCCAAATTGAGGGGTTATACTTGAAGAAAAATTTGAATGATATCAAATCACACTTTCTTAGAGAAATTATTGAATGGTGGCATTTTGTTATCCAATCCAATCAAAATTAATAATTAATTTTCTTTAGAAAATCTTATTATATTCTTGCGAATCTAGTCTTTTTTAATCAGAGTCTTATTTCAAGTGGACTAGTAAGTATCCTTGGTCTAACCATCTACTAATTTGTCAAGATTTCTAATATGTCTTTTACATTACCCAAAAAAAAAATAAAAAAAATAAAAAAATAAAAAGAATTAGAAGAGTACAATTGATTTTGGACCTTTATTGTGTGTCCCTTGGTGGAAGATGGACTTTATATGGGTTGGGGCCCAACAATGCATATACCTTGTCTAGCCCACCTGGAAGCCTAGACTGGACTAAGCTCTGAAGTCTGAACACTACGATTGTCTCTTATATCTTGACAGATTCGAGTGCTTGAGTTATCTCTTGTATGTATATGTGTCTGTGTAAGAATATTTATATATTCTAATTATTTTTTTATATTTCACTATGATTTAGTGGAACTCATATTTAGTCTACGGTACATAAAAAAATAATTTTTTTTACTATACTAATTTTAGCTCAACCAGAAAAAAAAAAAAAAAAAAATAATAGTATTAGTCCATCTAATCAAGCCCAAGTTAACTTAGCCGCCAGCCAAATAAGTTTAGGGCCGGCCCTGACCCATGACGACAAAGACGGTTGCTTAGGACCTCAAAATTTAAGGGGCTTCAAAATTTATAGCCCATGGATGATGGGCCACGAGAAAAAAACAAAAATACAGTAGTTCAAAATTTTAGTAGTTATTATTTTGATGATAAATTATTGTACTTTGTCAAACTCCAAACACCAAATATCATTATCATTACATCAAAATCAAATCAGCCAAATCCTATAACTGCAGCAACTCCAGTACCAAATCTGCTTTTTGACCTGTAGATTTGACCATTTGACTGGTTGGTTGTTTTTGCCCATATATATATATATATATATATATATATATATATATATATATGCAAATCATTTTAGCCTCCCCAATCGCCTCCATCTCTATTCTCGTTCTCAACTCTGAACTTGCCCTCTCTTTTTCTCTCTCTCTGTGCAACTGCAAACTACAAAATCTACAAGAATCAGAAGTTCAAAACCCATATATTTCAGTTTAGTCTGCAAGAATCAAAAGTTGAAAACCTATATCAAAACCCATATCTTTCAGTTTCCATCGCCGCTATTCCAGTTCAAGTTCGCCCTGCGCAAGCTTCACCCGTTGTCTCTCAAATCGCCAATTAATTTGTAGATTTGGTAATTCTTAGTCAAAAGTAGCCATCAAATCTGTCTAGGTGGAGGTGGTGTGGTGTGGTGTATGTGGTGGTGGTGGGGGAGGTGATGGCGGGGTAGAGGTGATAGTGGCGGTGGGGTGATGGCAATTCACGGTTAAATATATTTTTTTCTTTAAGAATGTATCAAATATAGTTATTTCATAATTAATGGCTAATTAAAATAATGTTAATTTCCTAAAATAATTATTCTCCCCAATAACTATTGGATTAGATCTTAAGGCTATGAGTAAAAGTGAGTATATTGCTTCCTGTTCACCATGGAGCAATTGAACACTACTGTATATGTATATTCATAATTTTTATTTTTATTTTATATTT